CGCAGCAACACAGAGGTAAGCCTCGGTAGTGTATCTATCCATACAGATAATTGATTTTTGTCTTACTGGCAGCGCCCCCACACCCGCGCCCCCTGCAGGAGATGCCCAATAAAGGCAAAATTTTCGATGTTATAATTGCGTGTTCAAGCTGATGTAAATATAAGGCCACAAAGACACCCCGACGAAGTCCGTCAAAAACAACGAGCGCCAGGGACATCCGCCTGCTGAAAGCGTGCCGCCTAAAGCATTGTCATTGTTCTTCTCCACTGAATGCGAGCTTGCCCATCTTCATGGTCCACTCCTTATCTAATTGAATATGTATCCTCTAGCGAATCCATCGCATAAGCCCCAGCAAGCGCAGCAACACAGAGGTAAGCCTCGGTAGTGTATCTATCCATACAGATAATTGATTTTTGTCTTACTGGCAGCGCCCGCACACCCGCGCCCCCTGCAGGAGATGCCCAATAAAGGCAAATTTTTCGATGTTATAATTGCGTGTTCAAGCTGATGTAAATATAAGGCCACAAGAACACTCCGACCAAGACCCCGATGAACGACCAGGGCAAGGGACAACCGCCTACTGAAAGGATGCCGCCAAAAGCATTGTCATTATTCTTCTCCACTGAATGTGAGCTTGCCCATCTTCATGGTCCGCTCCTTATCTAATTGAATATGTATCCTCTAGCAAAATCCGGGGAACCCTCGCATAAGCCCCAGCAAGCGCAGCAACACAGAGGTAAGCCTCGGTAGTGTATCTATCCATACAGATAATTGATTTTTGTCTTACTGGCAGCGCCCGCACACCCGCGCCCCCTGCAGGAGATGCCCAATAAAGGCAAATTTTTCGATGTTATAATTGCGTGTTCAAGCTGATGTAAATATAAGGCCACAAAGACACTCCGACCAAGACCCCAAGAACGACCAGGGCAAGGGACAACCGCCTACTGAATGGATGTTGCCAAAATTCTTGTCATCATTTTCTCTACTGAATGCGAGCTTGCTCATCTTCATGGTCTGTTACTTATCTAATTAAATATGTACCTCCAGCAAAAGGTTCGGGGAACCCGTCGCTTAAGTCTCAGCATCCGCAGCAACACAGAGGTAAGCCTCTGTAGTGCATCTATTCATACAGATAATTGATTTTTGTCTTACTGGCAGCGCCCGCACACCCGCGCCCCATGCAGGAGATGCC